ACACGTGACCAGTATACTGCTCTGCCATTGGTGATAGTTCTGGTCACGTGATTTAAGTTTCAGATTTTCAAAATTTTACATATATGAATTTTCGTATAATTTTAACACAGTTTTATATCAGTTTCTCGAGACAGGAACATCAGATAAAACTTTCATGGGTCGCGATCAAGAGCTAAAGTGATTAGCTTTCAGCCTATACCCCCTTTCATTTTTCCTTTACTGTCCCTTTAAACAAATATGATTTAATCATGTTAATATGAACTTACTAAAAAAACATTTTTTTATTACGTTTGAGGACTAAATTCCTGTTTAATGTTGGTCTTAATAAACAATAATCCAAAATTTACGTTCGTTCAATCGATCTGTAGTTAAATTTTTATGTCACCACAAATGCGGGAAAAATAACATCTTTTTTTAAAAGCTTAAGAGTGCATCTCTAATTTGTTGAAATTAATCCTAATTCTAAATTAGTCTTGAGATTAGCATAAAGAGAGGATCAAGCATTGATCTCGTTATCTACTATTCTAAAGCTGCCAGCTCAGTTCATTTTTTTTCAACAAAAACAACGCTTATTTCAATATTGAGGTTATTGATAAAATGATTTATACATTAAATGATTCTAAAAAAGAACCTAATTACTCACCTCAAACTCTAAATTTTCAAATTTGAAATCTTTGCAGCCGGATGAATTAAGAATTTAACATTTCAAATTTTTATAAATCTAATTCTCAGTTTAAAATGTCAAGTTCTTTGACATGCAAAAATACAAGGATTAGTTTAAGGCGAACAGTTAGTTTCTTTTTTTATTTATTTTTTAAAATTAATTTTCAAATTGTGAATGATTGATATTAAGAAATCGGTGGAAATGATCTCCGAGTACTGTGGGCCATCCACACTGACCAGCGGCCCCCACCAATATCAGGCTGCCCCCCTCCTCTAGAGCAGTTAATGACCGTTTGCTGGAGCAAAGTAAGTTTATTTCATCCAAATTGCTTTCTTTGTTAAAAAAAAATGTCTATAATATTAAGAGAGGTAAGTTCCAAACCTGCCATTCAGTGAGAGGTTTCGGCCAAATAACTTTTTGGAACTTTTTCCCCTGAATTNTGGTATTCTTAAACTCGATGAAATAATCTTGATGCATTCTTTAACTCAGGCCTGCGGCCTTCGTTAAAGAATACATCAAGATTATTTCATCTCGTTTAAGAATTTCCATTATTACATTTTTTTCCTCATAAGATTATCATATTATAAAAGAATCTATATTATAAAAGTTTGTTAACCAAGGATGTGACAGTACGACCTAGTATGGCGAGTATTTATGAAGAAATGAACTCAATTCTTCCATTCTTTCCAGGATCCACTGATCCGATCCTCTTCTCAGAACCCGGTAATAATAATAATTGATGTCAACCCTTGATCTGATTTGATTAGGCTCGAGTTCCCTTCGGTTAATAGTTCTCACAAGCATTAACCCAGTCACTTCTGTATGCCGAGTCCATTAGCACCTAGTCCGATCAGGGTTTAGTCATGTGTTCGTTGTTTATTCTGAACCAATATAAATAGTATGGCGATAACATCTATCTTCTATCTATCTCATTATCAATCAGAGTTATAAATCCTTCAATCGAAGCTATCAGTAAATGGAATTATTTACTTCTACTAAAACTTGCAGCTGAGCGCTAACCCGGAAGTGTGAGTCAAGCCTGTTACAAAAAGCATCCCAGCGAGTTTCAGATTCATAAAACAAAAGAACAGACAAAAAAAAATCATAGAAATATTGTGTGAAGTTCAAAACATTCCCGAGTGCAATCTGTTACTTAATGAATGTAAAATATTTAATAACAGGATTAAGGAATTGAGTCTTAACCAAAAGCTCAAATTTTGTAATTTTTACAACCTGATGGTGGAAATCTTTGATATTTCAAACTCAGATTATTTGATCTAATAGAATACACAGTTTGAAATATCTTAAGATCTGCGACATTGGGCTGCAAAGATATAATGATTAGAAAATCAGAGTTTGTTGCAAATACTTAATTTCTTAATTCTTTTATTTTCAACATTACATTTAAGATTACTCTTGTTTTGAATTTAACATAGAATATTTTTATAATTCATTTTGTCTTTTCTTTTGTTAAAATGGATCTCTGGTAAACATTTAGTAAAAAAAACATGTCTTAATTAATATAAAAAAGCTAATATTTTTTAAGATTTCGTATCTTGTTTCTTCTCTTTACTCTTAATTTCTCACCTTTCACTTATTATTTAATAAACCTCTTTCCGCTCTTTCCGGTAATAAACATATTGTGAAAATGGTATGCTTTAAAACTTTAAAAGCTCATTTAAGTGTTTGTAAAATTAAATAGATCCTGATAAGTTACAAATTTCATAGTAAGAAAACCAAAATTGCCAAAACTTGTTGATTTTTTTCCTGTTTTAGAAATTGACCAGGATACTCTGGGAAGTGAGAGTTTGGCCAGTTTCAATACAGCTGAGGACAGCAGCCAGGTCAGCCTAACTGTTTCAGATCAAAACCCGGAGATTTTAGCTCTAGCTGTACATACTGTACATAATATTGCATCCAACCCTGCAGAGCCATCTAGCGGCGAAATAAACCATAAAAACTCAAATAGTGACTTGAGACCTACTAACCAGTTTAACGTGCCTAACATCAACCAGTGTCTTGAATCTGGATTCAACAATCATGGTTCCGCTGACACTCCTAAACTTGTAATCAGCATTCCGTAAGTTGCATCAATTAATAAAAAATAATAATTCAAAAATAATTCATTCTTAAACGTAAATAATTCGATTTTAAAACTGCTAATTTTTGACGAACAATAATTGTATTTTAACATTTAAAATCGTCATCATTCCTCAATGCACATATTTCTACACAAAAAGACGCTTAACGTTCCAAAATTTATTCATGCTAAATTATTTTTGCTATCTGATTAAAAAAATGGATGAATTTTGAAACTTGTTTTAACCCCTAGTAAAATAGTACCTTTTACTCAAACTATTAGAATTGTGTTTAAAATTTCTTCGAATTATTTTTGTTTGGAATTGACCTCCTGGACTAAAAAATGTTCCTTTCAAAGCTTAGCTTAGTACAATTTGTCTGAGATTTAAAGGGACTGTATGCGTTTTTTAAGTGACCATCTATTAAAAACGATACCCTAAACCTTAAACTGATTTAAATGTGGAAGATACTGTCGTTTTTTTTTGACTCGAAAAATGTTAATTTTTATGAGTTTCTCCATTTCTTCGTTTATAAACAAGAAATCCGCAAGTCACATTAGCAAAAAAAAAACAGCAAATGAAAATAAATTGTTAAAAGAAACAAAAACATTGAATTATAATTCACACTTGATCAGAGAAAGCTTGTAAATTGGGCACTACTAGCTTTGCATGAAGGATCACATGAAATTACGCTTACAGTCCTTGTAATGATGACAAAAAAGTTCACTAGAACAGGGGTCCTACCAATTATGATTTTTCGTGCAAAACAGTTGTCTCTACACTGTGGTGTTCCTGAAGCATATTTAACCTTGGAAAGTTTTGAAAATAAAATTCTAGAAAATGAATTTATGTTAAAACCTTGGAAAGTTTTGAAAATTAAATTCTAGAAAATGAATTTATGTTCAAACCTTGGAAAGTTTTGAAAATGAAATTCTAGAAAATGAATTTATGTTCAAACCTTGGAAAGTTTTGAAAATTAAATTCTAGAAAATGAATTTATGTTCAAACCTTGGAAAGTTTTGAAAACGAAATTCTAGAAAATGCGTTTATGTTCAAACCTTGGAAAATTTTGAAAATGAAATTCTAGAAAATGAATTTATGTTCCAATCTTGGAAAGTTTTGAAAATGAAATTCTAGAAAATGAATTTATGTTCAAACCTTGGTAAGCTTTGAAAATGAAATTCTAGAAAATGCGTTTATGTTTAAACCTTGGAAAGTTTTGAAAATGAAATTCTAGAAAATGAATTTATGTTCAAACCTTGGAAAGTTTTGAAAATGAAATTCTAGAAAATGAATTTATGTTCAAACCTTGGAAAGTTTTGAAAATGAAATTCTAGAAAATGAATTTATTTTCAAACCTTGGAAAGTTTTGAAAGGGTTCAACATTGTCTGAAGTCGGAATTTTTGTATGGAGTATCGTTAATCTTGAACGATTGATCTTGATATCCAATATGGGCACTTATAAGTTTGAGGATAAATTTTTGATCCCTACATTTAATTCTCCCTGCAAGGGCATGACCACAAAGGGATATCGCAGAGGAATTAATTTAATCGCTATGTCTATGCAAGATCAATTGCTTAATCCCAAGATTAACAAGACTAAAGTTCTGACTTCTTGTTTGAGGAAGGATCTAGAATTCTAAATGAAATGATTCGAAAAAGTTTCTAATCCCTGTGTTCAATTAACATGTTTTGTGACAGAGGAAGAAACTTAAATGCGGGAGAAAAACCTCAGGTTTGATATTTTCTATTTAGAAGTTTAAACTTTCTAAATTCTTCACTTTTACTATAATGCAGTGAGCTGTAACCTGATAGAACCATGGTTTTAAATTTAAAAAAACTAATTATTTTGACATTTGTTTGAAGACTATTGCTATATAGTAAGACAAATATTTTATAAGAATTTCCAACGATTGATTATTTGTGGAAACACGTGAATATTCGGAAGAAACTATTATTTTTATATTTTTTCATAATCTTTTTCTGTTTTGTGAATAGTCGCAATGTTGAAGCATTTAATTTGAAAAGTTTCACGTCCTCAAGTAGAATCTGATTTTATTTTAGTATTTTTTAGTTTTGATTATTAAATTTTGACAATTAAAACTTGTTAGGGATATTGGACTCCACCGGAGGATGATTTTGAAATGAACCTGCCACAGATGAATCCAAATGCACTCATTGGTATATAGTTTTTTCAGAGCTGGGAACTTCTGTGATAATCCCAATCGCTGTGTACGATATCGAACTTTGATCTCGATATCCACAAGAGTTCCCTGCTCAGTTTTCAAATTTATTAAAGCTTTTTAGCTTTTAAACCATGGAAATCGTAACGAACGTTGTTTTAAAAGGCAATTTTTGCTTGATTTTAATAATTTTTGTGCTTAAGATTAATTAATTGGTGATAAAGATTAATTTTACGAAATTTTTTTAGGGGCACCACCTGAGTTGCTTAGAAGGGGACCTCAAAGTTCGAGGGGGTATTTGCCCCCAATTGACAGGGGTTATCTTCCCCCTGCAGTCCCTGCTAGAGGAGGTAGGGTTCTCTGATACGCAAAAAATATATTTTTTTATGATAAATGCAATTCAGGTTCAGGCAATTTGGAAAAAAAGACTTTTTATCTTTTTTTTTTTTTTAACTTATTATGTTAATAAATTGCCTTTGGGGGATTTTTTGTGAAAAGAAGTTTTTTCTGAAAATATCTTTCTAAAAAATTGTCTATGCTATTTTAACTCGTTATTTTCTGTATTATTGAAAGTAGTTGTACTAATGTAGATGTTCTATCTAGATAAACTACATCTCTTTTATCCCTGCCTTGTATTTAACAGTGCTTAGGATCCGGATCTGTTGGATCTGTATATCTTGGCTTCCTGGATCCGGATTCACAAAAATATCCGGATCAACGGATTCGGATCCAAGGGGTAAAATATCAACCAAAAAATGCAAAAAAATTACTCTCAAAATCCAAACTGATAAATTATAAAAATTTCTGATCTCTGAATGGTTCATCTAGTTTTAGTATTTAAAATAAGGGGGAAAAGTAGAAACATTATTTGACAATTCTGCTTTGTTAAAAAAAAAGTCAGGAGTCATGTCCTGAATCCGGATCCGGATCAATTTTTTTCCAGTGCGGATCCAGGATCCGTATCCGCATCAAAATAAAATGGATCCTAAGCACTGGTTTATCCCTGCCTTGTATTTCAGGTTTCCCTGCGGAATGGTTGGAAGCTTCTTCTTCAGACAAGGATCAAAGGAAGAAATTCTTTTTAACTTGAAAACTAGAATTTAAACCTTAATGTTTACATTTTTAGATTTATCTATTAATCATTTGAAATTCAACAAAAGTTGCCTTATGTTATAGTTATTGAATGTTATTTTTTAATATTATTTTAGCAGTTTGCTTTATGGCATCTTTTCGGAGAACAATTTAGAAGCCACAAAAGTTATCCTCTCAGAGCTGAAAACTTTAGAATGATATATCCTTAATCCCGATTCATACTTTTGATTTTCTTCTTAAACCGTTCTTTCTTGGATATAGTAGAGAAACATCAAAAACCGGTTTTTCTAAATTAGAGAGTTCCTCCCATTTCTGTATATAATCTTAAATGGCGCGCAAAATTTCAAATTTATCGGTTTCATATACAGTATACACGACTCTGATTGGTTGAATTTTTAACACTTTTCAGGATACAAGTACAAGATTAGGTTAGTCTCGATATTAAGAAAAAGGAGAGGATCAAGCATTAATCTCAATATCCACCATTCTAAAGTTTTCAGCTCAGAGCGCTAATATACTATTCAGCTATTTCCATGGTTTAAGTATCTCTTAAAATTATAAGTTTCTCATTTGGATGTTTTAAATTGTATTGAAATATTTACAATTTGAGCGGGAAAAGCAACTCTCTGAATTTGTATGGGTCCTGCAGATCTCTTGGTTTCAGTTTTATTTTTTACGATTTTCTCCTTATAGACGCAAAATTATTAGCGATCGATGTCGAATTGTATTCAACATCAACCTATATCCCCTTTCATTTTTCGCAAACACTCCCTTTAAGTAATAAAAGATTTAAAACAAAGGGTTGAGTTTGATCTGACCGCAGCGCTTTCAAACTTAAATATGACTGACCGAGCTAATCTAGTCATTGGAGATAGAGGTAACACCTTAATTGTATTTTTGTCTTATAATCATGGCCATGGGTTTAAATCCAAGTGACCCTGCCTGTGTAGTGTCTGATTCACAATATCACCTATAACTGATCAAGGTTGTCGGACTTATCCACATTAATCTACAGAAACGTTTTAGATTGTTGACCTGTCTTGTATTTCAAAATATTAGCATTCACTTTCTTGACTTGGCAGAAAATAAATATTTTAATTTGAATTAATGAAAATCGCTTTTAACGTTAAATAATTAGTTATTTCAAGGGGCACAATTAACGGATCAGCTGTGTAAAGTCCACCCTGTTCACGTTTGATACGAAAAGCTTGAAACCACAAAAATAAAGTTTGTTTAGACATATAAAAAAACACTATATATTTGAATTAGGCTATAATGATTTGGGTGGAGATAATCAGGAGAGAATTTACAGGTAAACAAATTTAATGAATCTGAGCTAGGTCGCTGAACTACCCACTGTCGATTCAACTACTTTTATGTAGTGTTGATGTGGATTTTACATCTATAGAACATGGGACCCTATTCAACGAATCTGAGATAGGTCGCTGAACTACCTACTGTCGATTCAACTACTTATATGTAGTGTTTATGTGGATTTTACATCTATAGAACATGGGACCCTATTCAACGAATCTGAGCTAGGTCGCTGAACTACCTACTGTCGATTCAACTACTTATATGTAGTGCTGATGTGGATTTTACATCTATAGAACATGGGACCCTTTTCAACGAATCTGAGCTAGGTCGCTGAACTACCTACTGTCCATTCAACTACTTATACGTAGTGCTGATATGGATTTTACATCTATAGAACATGGGACCCAATTCAACAAACCTTAGCTATGTCGCTGAACTACCTACTATCGATTCAACTACTTATATGTAGTGCTGATGTGGATTTTACACCTGTAGAACATGGGACCCAATTCAACAAACCTGAGCTATGTCGCTGAACTACCTACTGTCGATTCAACTACTTATATGTAGTGCTGATGTGGATTTTACATCTATAGAACATGGGACCCAATTCAACAAACCTGAGATAGGTCGCTGAACTACCTACTGTCGATTCAACTACTTATATGTAGTGCTGATGTGGATTTTACATCTATGGAACATGGGACCCTATTAAACGAATCTGAGCTAGGTCGCTGAACTACCTACCGTCGATTCAACTAACTATCTGTAGTGCTGATGTGGAGTTGACATCTTTAATACATGAAAAATTCCTGAATCACCGATTCAAGATACGAGGTTGAACCGTCTCTAGACCTAGCTCAATTCATTAAATCTGTTCAACTATTATGCATTTTTATATTTATAAATTAAAAAAATCCTGAAGGTTTAAGCAATTAAGTTATTGTTATTATTATTTCAGGCCGCGTTTTTAAAAACTATGAATATTATTGTTTTCTCTATAGTTGTAAAAAAAGGTTTTTTACTAAACTAAAAGTTAAAAAATTGTCTTTCTATTTTTACCTTTCTGTTGTATAGATCGGAAGGCGCCTATGGAACGGGTCAAAGTGATGGCTCTCAAATTTCAAGGTATTTGTGTTACAGTGGAACCCTGAAAACAGTAGAATTATGGTCGTCTTCTTTCTTTCCAATTTATCATGAAAAGACCGCGAAGGATGTTGTTATTTTTAGCTGATTAGTGACTATTTCTAAAAACGTGGCGTAAATTTTTTTGTTCTGACAATTGAAAATTTAAACTTCCTAAGTCGCGACATTTTAAAAAATGAAAGAACTAGGACGAACTTAATTTGACTTTTCTCTAGTTATATATAGTATATACGCAACAAAAGTCTAGTGGGAAGGTACCTAAATGCATAACTAGCACAACAAGTGTATGTGTATGTGAACCCCGTGAGATGGTATGCGGGACTGAAGTATATTCTCTAACTCCTTTAAGTACTGTTTGTTTGTTTGTTTGTATCCAATAAACGTCAAAACGGCTGAACCGATCGGGCCCAAATTTTTTGTGGGACATCACATGACCATAGGGAAGGTTTATGAATGATAAAAATTTTTTAAAAATGTTTTTTAAAGGTTTTCAATTTTGTAAAAAATTTAAATTGTTGAAAATCCGCGAATTTTTTTTTTAGATCCGCAAAAATTTGTTCTTCTTTGTTTTAAAATGTAAACAAAAAGAACATGTTTACAATTTAAATAGAAGATGGGCGCGAAGCGCCCTAAAAACCTAGTTAAGTACAATTCAGATATTCTTCCTGGTTTAAACTCGGTTCCTGCTTCATCTACGCATTATTGAACTTGGTTCATACAAATAACTAGTAGGATATCTTCAGTTTTATTCACAAATAATGAATGCTTTCAATACAGACGAGAAAGTTCCAAATCATGATAATAGCTTTACAGTAGTATGGGCACAATGCCACAAATGCTTTAATGAGGAACTTATCAGTCTGCTGTGTTGTCCACGGTAAACTAGGGGTCCTGGTAATAAGTCAGTTAAATGAAGATTTTTGTATTTTCGCTTTTATACCTTTTTATAATAGGCCAGCGCCTTTTATTTTGATTAAAAACGTCTTAAATGGCTATCACACTTTCTTTTACAGATTTTGAAGTAAAGATCAAAAAATGAAACTTGTCAATACAGACTGCAGGATGTACTTCGCTTTAGTTAGTTCTGGCCCAAATCACGAGTTGGAACATTTATTTCCTGCAATTCTAAAGTGATCATCTCTTTAATGCACTGAATTTTTTATATAAATTAGTAAATTTAGTATTATAAATGATGAAATGCTAAAAATCTGTTTTCTCTGCTTCTGCTAATAAATAATAAAATGTCTAGAAACTTCTCTTTGAAGAACGAAAAAGCAATTTACAACAAATACAACAAAAGAGAAGTTGTTTTAAAGGATGCAGGAAAAGTAATTCACCATTTAGAAAAATATAGACGCGTTCTGAATGATTCAACGTTTAAAAAAAATTATGTCTTTTTATTAAATTACTTGGCATCTGTTTAGAAGTTTAGCTTTAAATGGCTCTCTCCCTCTAAAAATTGCAGGGACGTATCAAGGAATTTGTCCAGGAGGGGTTAACATTTTTCACATTGCAGGGGAGGGGGGATCAGTCACCGATCTAAAGATCAGTTTTCATTTCTTCAGAGGGTGGGGGGCTTCGTCTCCCACCCTGTATTCGCCTCTGAAGTATTTTCTATTCCTACATGTGTATT